CCCATTCCCGTTCGGCTTTGCTAATTGACCAATCTTCTACAGGGCAACCACGATTTGTACATTTCGGAAATCATCCCTTGGCGACGGTAGAGTGCAGATTTAGTGAAAATGGCCTGAATCGTATCCTCGATCATTTTTTACTGCGCCAATGGCATATCAGTGTAATAACTAGACTGCAAACTCTATACATTTGTGATAAAGAAGTGAGAAGATGCATTTAAAACACTCGAGAGAACAAAAGATTTTAATAGAGGTTTCCTAAGGATCTATTATGATATTTTATGAGCCATTTAGAAACATTAATGGATAAGTTTTAAACTATACTGTCAATTTTTTCCCACTATTATGATGTAGAAATGTTATTATATTGTTCTTCTATATTAATACATTGTTCGAATAATATTAATTTTGTTTGAAACATTGTTATATTTAGATGAATTCCAAATTTCTTTTCTACAATTGTTGAAATTGTACAGATGCCTTTGTGAATAATGACTGGATATACCTATTGATTCTTAAAAATTGTACAATATGGCCATAAATACGGACATGTTATTTTTAAAAGGCAGTGAAAACTATAGAATAATACGTACACGCGTTCGAGAAGTAGACAATTTTCCTCCTGAGTAAGAACATAGTACATAATATGTAACAATATGTAACAGAATAAGTTCAATAATTACAGCTCGCACCTATTTAAACAAAATTATACGTTGCTTAAAAGTACACACAATCCTTTGGTTTTATTAAAATTGGTATCGTAGCAAAGGTTTGGTCTCTGCATTCGAATAGCGATCCTAAAAGGCGTTATAAGAAAATGCCAATCCATAATTAGAAAAAACTTTAGTTAATATTTACTTGATTTAATGAAACGCATACAAAGATTTAATGTTATTGGTTTTCGAATGGAAGTTATTCATTAATCCCCGAATGTCAAACTTCGATCATTTTGATCTAAAATTATAAATGCCCCATCCATAATAGATTCTAATTTTATAGCAGCCTGTTCGAATAATTTTGTATTTGTATTGGGATTAATACGAAGATATTAACGTTGGCTTCAAATAAATAGGTCCAAGAATATGTGAAAGAAAGTTTATGCGCAAGATAGAATTCGATCTAAGCATTAAAGAGAGGATTAATCAGAAGTCCATTTAGAATTATACAATCTATAGGTATAATTCAATCAATAGGTACGTCCCAATAAAATTTCCTGCATATGACGAAACTAGTTATAAAGACTTTATTTAAATTAAGCTGTTTTCGCTGTTAAAATCACGCTGATTTTCAGCAGCTAGCGTTAGTTCGAAATACATAGCGATCTCCGCAGGGTTAAGTGTAGTTTCAGGTACAGATTGCCGAGCGAATGAACCGCGACATGAATTTGACGCGTTCGTGTCCATTAGAGAACGGGAAAAAGCGAATGGAAGGGTTGCCTGGCCGACGATGCCCGAAAGCAGAAATAAGCCCCGGCCAGTTAGCGTCCAATCTTATCCCCGTTCTCCGGTTGTTTTTCCGCCATCCTCGATCCCGTCTCATCCTCAGGATATATAACTGTTATTTTTCGCGAAAGCCACTCCATTATTTCGCCCTCCTCGCCGGTCTTTTTTACCGGCACCGTTTCCTTTCTCCGCCGGCTTCTGTCTCTGGCTCGCGGACGGTCCCATTTCGGAGTGCCCCGGCGAAGCGAGACAATACATTATATTATCCGTATCATTATTTCTCCGCACGAAAGCCAGCCCGAACCTAGAAAAACCGAGACACGCTCATAATGGGAGAAATCCCGGCGTGGCCGCTGATATTCCCGGTTCCTGCCGCCGCCGCCGCAAGAGAGAAATCTTGCCCGATATCTCGACGTCGTTTCGCGTCAACCAGCTCGTCTCTTATGGACCAGAGACTTCAAATTGTCTTATTTTCACTCGCTTCTTCGCGATACCCTCTGCGTTTCACGTTTCGCTCGCAACCCGCCGCACCGGGCAGTTACCAGTGAGAGCACGAAAAAAAGGATACGTCTCGAGCGATTATGAAGATTTTGAACGGTGATTTGTTCGAGGATCGTAACCGTGTTATCGATCGACCGGGTCTCGCGATCAATCGGCGTGAACAATCACTTAAGGGGTGAGAGCACGTTTCCCGTGGAGCGCATTTCAGGCGGCGGAGCATCAGCCTTCTCTTCTATCCATTGCTCGCCGACCGGAAATACATTTACGTGCACACAGACGAGCCCAGAGAGGTTGCGGGCACGGTGTACGTGAGTGGGTGCAGCTAGGTTGGTTAGGTGAGCATGTAGATAGCGAGGTGGGTAGGTAAGTATCCGCGGGGTAAGTTTTTCCAGGCGATCTGTTCTCCGGATTCAGATCAATACCCGCCATCTGGGCCTTCGGTCGGGGGATACGGGCAAGGAGGAAAAGGAGAAGGTGGATGGAGAGAACGAGAGAAGACTGGCCTGGGGAAAGCGTGAGAGAATGAGAGAGAGAGAGAGAGAGAGAGAGAGAAAGAGAGAGACTGTTCGAAGGTGGAGGAGTCACTCGAGCAACAAGCCACCGCCGCACCCTCTACTGCAATCCTAGACACATCGAAAACCTCGGCCAGAAAGCAATTCCTGTAGCTACATACGCCCACGTTTCACGCTACCGTGGCTATGACGACACTGTTCGCGTCTTCGTCTATTCAGAACGCTCGAAATATGTGCTCGATGAATGCTTAAGTGGCCCCTAGTTTACGTTATGGTTATAATGCAATTTTTGGGAAGTTTTCGAAAGAATGGTATCGGGTGTTGTGATTCCAAATTTGGCACGCCTGTGAAATAATATTCTCAGCTCAAATATTCTAAGTAATGATGATGACTTTCTTCGAAGTTACAGTAGTTAGATGGTTTGAGGAAATGTTATTGATGGTGAACGTGATCGTTGAGGCTGAACCGGGAAACAAGAAAACGCGCGAAAATTAGGTCGGTCCGTTTTACAACTACCACAATCACGACTCAAACGTACGGACATGACGTGCGACAAATCCATAAACAAGAATCCTTCATTAATAAATTACAGCGTTAACAATACGGGTCCGTGAGACACGACTTCGCTGACAATTCCCCACTACTGCGATTAAGACGATTTCGGACACATCTATAAACCAATCGGAACATTCGTTAACCGTCGTTCAACTTCGTACATGACCAATCACCGCAAAACTTTTACTTGAAAAAAAGCGCAGAAACATTTTACACTGCAGATGTTTCATCAACGAAGAATTCTTCTGTTCTCATAACTCTATTCCAATGGCCATTATTAATGTAGAAGATTATAAGTTGACACCTATCATTGTCACCTAATGATCGATGTATTCAAACAAAAATCCACAGGCAAACAATTATGAATTATTTCAGTTGTAAAACTGAAAGCTGATCACGGATGAACCTATGAACCTCTACAGACAAATCGGAAGAATCGCGGCTTCAATTAAGATGCAACCAGGTGCCTTAAATCGTCGCGTGTAACACTTCCGGTCGTCGTGCTTGGGCCAAACTAATTTGCGTGCGTTTCCATTAACGCCCGTGGCCGACGGAAATCACGTTAGTGGATTTCACTTGCAGGCCAATTCGATCCGCATTACGCTCGATTACATTATCAGGCCTGTGGCCTGTAGGGAGGCTGAGATGGAGCGTTTGGGGAGGACCGGCGAAGTAGGTGCGTACAAGGGAACGTCGGATAAAATGGGAGATAAGGTCTTAAGTAGCGACTGATTAAATCTCGGGACATATGTGTGTCGATCAATGGTTCTCTGCTCTCTCTGTCCGCCTCTCTTTCTCTCTTTCTCCATCGGCTTCTCTCTGTCCCTCGTTCCTATCCTTTCGAATGCTCTTTCTCTCATCCCGTTGGCTTTTCTGTCGTTCGAAAGAGGGGTTGATCCACTCGTTCAGTTTGTGCGGTGCTGATACGCTGTAATGCCGTCTCATGGGATCGTGCTCCCTGTTTCGTAGAGCATCCCTTTACCGTGGATACTTGTGTTCTAGTCCTGTACTACCCCTCCCCCGCCGGCTCGATCTACCGGGCGACGTAAAAACACTTGAATTAATCGGCCCATTCCCGGAGGAACCTGCGAAAGGTCAATAGGATCGGGGTGTCGAGAGCCGGGTGTGCACTTATCTAGATGCAAACGCAGGGGTGCCGTCGCGTCTCGCGCCCCTCGGAGCCGGTGTTAGATAACTAATCGGTCCCATTGGCAATTGGTTGCAGCATATGCCGCGAGCACTTAATTTCTTCGGCGGTCCTCGACGATAGATCTCGCTGCTCGATTTCGCCGATCAGTGAAACGCGAACAGGCAATGATTGATCGGAATGACTACTTCCAGCATGACGAAGTTGGCTAGTCGAGCTTGTTTCAGACTTCGTGCGAGGACTTTTAATTGAATTTAATACGTAGAAACGTTTTTCAATTCATAATAAGGGAAATTCGATTTGCGAATGTTTCACTTTTACAGCGACTACACTGGTCGATGACTTCAAATTGCTACGTGAAATACTTGAAATGGAGTTACTTCAGGTTGATGTTATTAGGTAACACTCAGTATATTCTACATTGAAAGAAGCAAATGGTAATAATTTTAGAAAAACTATACACTAACATTTACATAATATCACTTTTAATTATTCGGACGTTGTTTTCTCGTTACTTGCACGATTAAACTCACGTTTGTCTTAAGGATAACGCATTAATTTGAGAATATATAATATATTCTTTCTTTAAAATCCAACCAATTCCTCTATTTTACATTTTTTTGTTACATAACAATGTTCGCCAATCGTAATAATATTAGAACTGTACAACGTTCTGCTTTGGGCAAATGCAATGAACCAAGAAAATTGACCTATACTGTACAATATGAAACCAAGTAAGTTTTTGTAAGAAGACCTCGAACACTAAATTACTTTCAGGATGTCACATGAGTTGTTCCTTTTGAGACTGGAGTTGTATGTGTTCAACGTAATGGTTTGACTTACCGATTAATGGAGGAAACGGATGGCACGTTGTCTTGTGAACAAATGCCTTCGGCGAGCAGCCTGTCCCGAATCTCCCAAGCAAACATTGTCGGATTGTCCCTCTTGTAGTTCGCGATCGCCTCAACGACCGGTGGTGTTGCTACTTTCGGTTTGGAACCACCTATGACGCCAGCCTTGAAGCTGCCGGTTTCATAATACCTGCGGACAGGAAAGATCAAACTGATAGATCGTTGAAAAGATTCTGTCGCGATTAGGATCATGGAACTGGAGTTCCGCGGCTACGTTGCTGTCATCATTTATCACAACTTCATCTTCTTGCCACATTATCTAACTAATTTTCGACACCTTAGCTTCTCTATGTTACAAATAATTCGATAATTTTTTCGTGAACACAGTCCAATCCCCTGGCTTATTTCGTCTTTTTATGAATTAATGTAAGAAATTCCGACTTCTGTTTAAATTGGAAGTTGTCAGTCTATTTTAATTATGCATACATTTTCATATTAATTAGTAGTGATACCTAGCGGTAATTTTCAGTCGTACAAATATTCTGCTGCAATTTATGCTAAGGTCTAACGCATCTATAGCCAATTGCAAATCAAAAAGTAAATCGGATGTTCACGATTCAGTGAGCGAGATCGATTTTGTGCTTTCCTCTAATGATGTCGATTATGATCGCTTTCTGTTTGTGCCATTCCCTGCCTACTAATTATACCTCCTTTTTGTCGATCAACCTGTCAAATTGACGATCCGTAACGAGAAATCTACTTTTACTTCATCAACCACTTGTCACACGAAATAACAGACTCCACTTGTTGGAACAATTTCTTTTACAGCAAGCTCGATGAGATTCGATACATTTCATATAAGTTTTGAATGTGTTAAAAAGAATTTCATATCTTTATCGCTTACAACTGATTATCGGAAATTAGGAATTTGTCACGTTTTACAATCAGTTACTGTGTAACACAGTCATGTTCCAATATATTGATTGAAATCATTTTTATTGAGCACGAGATGTGAAAAATTTAAGATTTGAAGAATATGTTACTAAAATGAGTATGTAAAATATCGAACAGTAGAACAATGAATATTGATACATTCTTTTCAACATATCGAATTTGTTAACGAAAGAACGATATTTTTGTTTCATTATTTTCATGGTCCGAGTATTAAAAAGTATTAAAATGCTTCATCGCGCTGTTGAAATCTACTTAATATTTGTTTAAAGTAGGTATCAACAATTTACAATTTCCGATCGAATCAGGGAATCGCTTTCTATTATTTTCTCGCTACAAACATGACCAGATTTATTCAGATTCTGCGAAATTCTAATCAGAGATATGCCCAAAGAAACTCTTAGCCATTGTTTGAACGGATCCCTTAGTTCTACCACGACGAGATATTCCAACTGGGAACTGAGTTGACAATGTTGATCGACGAGCCGAAGGATCTAGCATTCCAGAGAACGATGGACGCGGCTTCACGGGTGTCGATCAAACGCGTGGACGTATCCGAAGGCCGGTGGCCACCTAAGTAAGATCAAACTCAAAGGAACGATACCCCCGATCCGTTTCGCTGGATCGTTTTGGGCAAGTGATTTAAAATCCGCTAGCAAAGCGGTCACGGCGTTGAGCGCGTACAAAATTGGCGAGATATCCAGAGCCGACGCCGGCGGCGGCGGCGGTGGCGGCGGACCCACATCCATCAAGGCGGCCCACAAGCGCGCCATTATTGCGGGCTTTCTACCGTAATTGAATTTAAGCACGAGCGAAGATATTATTTAACTAATTAGGTACAAAGGGTGCGTTCACGGCGGGCCAATCGCGATTGGCCATCGCGCGCATAGCACATAACCTGGCCTGGTGGGAGGCTGCCAGAGACGCCACACGTTCGTAGAGAGGCGGTAAGCGGGAGATGGAGAGAGAGAGAGAGAGAGAGAGAGAGAGAGAGAGAGAGAGAGAGAGAGAGAGAGAGGATTAGCGAATGGTAGGGGGAGCGACAGCGGGGAGGCAGAGGCCGTTTGTTTTAAAACAGCCGGTCGTTGACGCGCCGCTGGACGGCGATTCGTTATTCCGACGTTGGCCGCCCACCGCGGGAAAAACGATCGCCCTCGTCTCTCTTACGCCCGTTCCCTTTGATTCCGTTCGACCGATTCACCAACATTCGCACAAGGAACGGTAGATCTCCTTTCGATATCATGTTTTGGTGCGAGTCGCGACCGAGCCCGGAAGCTGGCGTCTGAGAACGATACGCGGGAATCGTATTTCCTCTTGGTTGTATAACTACGACACTCGGTCCAGTCGATGTTTTCCGTCGATCAACATTAAGATTTATTGTTGGACAACACGTAAGAAACTAGGCAATCACGTATACTTAATACCTTGCACTATAACAAAGAGCGAGACTCGTGACGAAGATTTCATATTTATCTGCTATAAACATGAATGTTATTAATTTCTTCTAAATTGAAGCAACATTTAATTCGTCGGCTAGCAAACTGTGGGTATGAAAGTAAACTTAGACACACGAATGGTAAACATTGTATCGTTCTACTAGAGAAATTATTGAAGACAAAAAAGTGTTATCACAGAATTGTATCTCAAGAAGTGTATCTCATTGATAAACTGATTTTTATGTAAGGTAAGCAGTTCCTACTTGAACTGCTACGAACTAGTCGTGATCAGTTTTTGGTACACTTTCTTTTCTTCATTATTTGGAACATTCGTTAATGATATAACAACAACAGTGTTAAATTTTTCAAGCAATAATCCAGTTAACAAGATCTAAACAGAAACTACGGATTTAGAACTTATTTAAACAATTTTCAGTTGTAAAGACCCCATAGTATTTGCAGAACTATTTATTGTTGTCATCCATGGATATTATATATATGGAATTATTTTACTTTAACAAACGATAGAACTACAATAAAACTGATTAATTTGTATTGCCCCGTAGAACTAACAAAGCCGTATTCATTGAAACTGGTCACGATATTTGGTTTAATAGCCGTCCGAAATATTAAATCATTTTTACCGTAAAAGAATCTTCATGAATTTATAAACTGTGAAACAAAAAATTTAAAACCAGTCATTTTAACCGACGACTCAATTTCAGTGCTGAAATCCTCGATGCAATTTCGGGGCCACGGAAATATCTTTCGTAAATCGTCTGAAAACTGTATAGTCAGTTGTGTGTTAACAGAACACGTCATTAAATCATGTTACGACCCGCGAACAATATCACCCCGTGCAACGGTTAGAAAGAAAAAAAAACCGATTGAACCTGCCGCTAAAAGCAGAAGGGTTTCCTTAAACAGGCGTCGCTCGTGTCACCCCGCTCGAAATTATACGATTATATCTGCCGTAAAACCCTATTCCCGGTGCACATGTCAATGCTCACCCGTTGATATTCGGCCCTCATTGTTCCGCCCCCATGCTCCACCATGAAATGGCCATTAAGCCGTGCGATTTTTAAAATTTACCCAGCGCGGCGCTTGCCATCGTTCGCCCTCGGTGCGTTAATCTCGATTTTAAACGGGGTCGGCTAAAACAGAAATCGGCTCGTCAATGGCAAGTGGAATCCGCGCGAATCGTGTTATCCATAATATGGTTTCTGTTTATCATTTTTATTAGACGTAATAATCGTTGTTCATTTTCTGTTCACGAATTATAGTTTAGATTTTCATGAAAAATTGATTTTGATGTAGATGTTAGAGAGAGAGAGAGAGAGAGAGAGAGAGAGAGAGAGAGAGAGAGAGAGAGAGAGCTTCAAAATTCGATTTTCGATCAATTGTATCTAACATGCGTTTGTAAATGTTCTCTTTGAAAATACAACAGAGTTAAGATTAAACGCGATCAATAGACTATGAAGGTGTGTAATATTTTTCTAAACGAGTGCAGAAATGATAAAACTTGATAATTTCGACAAATTACAGATATATTCACATTATGTTGAATTCTATTATAATTTTCTATTTGTACGATTACGTGCAAATTTGTTTAAATGTACAAACATTCATGATTCGCGTACAACTATAAAAAGTGTGAACTTAAATTTCTTAATTTTAGGTATAATATACAATACATTTCACTCGATACTAGCTGAGAAAGAATTCAAATAGAGGAAACATTTGCCAAATCCTGTTCCGCTAAATTTGTTAACACACAAAAATACTTTCAATGGATGCACAAACACTGTACATTTAATACTGCATTAAAACCAGCAATAAAAAACACAAGTGATATTCAAGATAATCAAATGCCGAAAGATTTAACTAATATAAACCTCAAACTTTTACGCAAACATTTTTAAGTCTATTCTTTAAAGACTCGAGACCAAGGACGAAAGACAGAATCCATACGCGCAGAGATTCTGCGTGGAACAGAGGCTCGCACAAAGGGCTATTCTCTGACGTTTCCCCTAAACTCCTCTCAAAAAGGGCACTTTCCTCGGCCTCCGGCGAACGACCGAAAAAGGTTTTTCGTCCAAACGGGACGGTGCGACGCAGCATGGCGTTCGAAGGGTCGCGGGAAGTTTTCAGCACCGTCTTTCACAAGTTTACGAACTCACTGGAATCGGTCGCATCCGTTGCGTTTAAGAGACCGCGTGTCGGAATCGTTGCAATTCCGCGAAGACGCCGACGCGCTCCGTCGCGACGTGTCAGCGACGCGTGACTGCGTAAAGCAGCGGGTCGGCGTTAACAGCGTCTCGTCGTGGAGGACTCGCACCGTTTTCGACACAGTTTTGCTTTTTCGGGCTGTAAAACTTAACGGTTGTAAAGCTCGAATAGGACAATGTACTCGTTTGTAGCGTTGTCTCGACGATCGAAGCAGTCATCGACTCGGACTACAGAATACGCGGAACTTTCGTCTGTTTAACGCTAACCGCATCGAGCGCTAAAAGTGACTTGTTGATGCGTTGCCTTATAAAAATTACAAGATTGAATTTACATGGATTTTTCGCAATTTTTATATCACTATGTGTCCGAATGAAGAAATTTATTGAATGATTTTCGATGAAAGTGTTTTCACAATTTCAATAATCGTGGAATCAAAATTGTCAAAATGGTAATTTGATATGGTTAATGTTAACCGCTTGTTGTACGATGTTCGTATGGTTTCAGGACAGAGAAACGTTGCAACGTGTAATACATACATAAATTATTTGTTTCCAAAATAATTTGGAACTATGTGTTTTAATGTTAATACTTTATATGCCTTTATATACCTTATTTGCTGTGTTAATACTTTATTTAAACTAGAAAAAGTATCGTGACAAACTTGAGAATAAATGAAATAATGTGTAGGCAAATTTTAAACATTTTAGAATAAGAATACAATATATGAGAAACAGGCAATATTACTATGGGGTACAATCAATAAAATATTTTTCTTTTCTTTGCCTTACAAAGTTCCGATTTCGACCGACATTTTAGCAGATATGAGAGAAATACTAGGATCACGTAGAAAAAGAATCAGTCACTCTATTCAGGTTAGTTGAATTTATTCATGCCGATGTTTTTGAATAAGCTATTAGGAAATCGATTGTGAAACTGTACGACCGCGTTTCTTTTTCCTTCGATTTGCACCTCAGTTGGCCGTGCCAATCGCGGAATATCGCGGTTCAGATTATCGATCTGACGCGGCGATAAATCCATTCGGAAATAAATGCGGCAGACATTAATATAACTGTTAATTTCTGTTCATAACACATTGCTGTTAATATCGTGTCGCGATAAATCGCTAGACCGTTGAATTTGAGTAAAACCCTTAAAGCTTCGCGTTTAATTACAGCCATGTGGCAATTTCCCTTTAAACAGAGTTGTTCGTAGATTACAATTTTCGAAACAAAATATCATGGAAATTCGAACTTCAAGTACATACGACAGGATCGAGTCTGGAACGTATAATGGCAACCAAGTCTTTAATTTTCCAAATCACTGTCTTCAAATTTTCCATCAATGATACTATTTACAATTACCGCTTTGTTTAATCAAACTAATATTTTAGAAGAGGGCGAACTATATTAAAAATATTATTTAATATCTTACAATACGAACAGAAGGGAGAGAATAACTACGTCAGAACTCAGATTATGACACTGTAAAGTAACTCGTGAGCACCTGCTCAAGAAAATACTGACAACCAAACATCTACCATTTTGATGCAGGAAATACCAAAACAACAGAATGAAATATAAATTAAACGCCCCATTGGACTTAACTTCGCAAGAACAAATTAAAAACATCCAAGACTTTTTTAAGGGCCAACAATTTACTTCATGAAATACGACAACGACCTAAAGAGTAGCTAATAAGCACCAAGGAAAAAAGAAGAATATTTCATCCAGCTCTGATCGAAATCGTTTCGATGCATACGTCCGATAGCTATTGATTTCAGTGCTGTATTTCAAGGGTTCTCGCAAAACACACGAGTCGAAATCGTGATCTCACGTTGGACGCGAGGCGGGAAGATAATGGAGCCGGGTCTATTATAGTACATCGGGACCGTACGTGAAAGAGCGTAGTATATGACAATGATATTCGAGCGGCGGGGACGTATGACATTCGGGCCATCAAAACGGCACGAGGCCACCCGTTATGTAACGCGGGGCGGAGGGTGGAAAAAACATGGAAACCGCATATCGTCGCACCCGCTGGCACCCCCTGCCGGGGGAGGAAGAAGGGTGGTTCCTTCCTTCCGGCGTCGCAGTTTCGTCCCCGGGATTCGTTCGCCTCGTGGTCCTAACAGCGTCTTTAATTAAATCACTCCGGGGCCAGGAATAGTCGCCTTTTTTGCACCGAGGACCGGGCTCCTCTCTTTCTGTTTTTCCTCCGCCGTTGCTTTCTTTTCTTCTCTTCTCTTCTTTTCTTGCGACGCTGATCCGACCGGCCTCGACCACTTCGCCGCGCGGAAATTACGGTGTCACGTTTGGCAAGCCGAGCTTGATCTTCCAGTAAATCATTCGCGCTTCCGCGTCACGGATTTTCGTTTCGAATCGGTGATTTAGGTACCCGCCGGGTAGAATCTTTCTTCTTCCACGAATTTAGGGTGGTCGCGGATTGAACGAGGTCGACGTGGCACTGAACTTGGGAACTTCAAACTTGTGCTCGTGTAGAAGAACTATAAATGATCTTCACGTTCGGATCGAAACTTTTCATTGTTCGGTGTTTTCACAAGATTCACTGTAGTCGTTCGTAGAGATCTGTATACCGATATATTATGTTTAGTAAATGCATTTTTACAAGTGCTCGGTATATTTTCTAACGCTCAAGGCATAAACACTGGAAATAATTTTTTCCGTACCTGGAGGATATGTTTTTGTCTAATTATTATGTTAGGATTTTTATTTTGTAATATCGTCTGCATATGTTGATACAAGACAGAAATGATAGACGCGTTTCTAAGGCAGAAATCTCATTTTTGAAGATGTTTTAAATGTTTAAATATTTATGAACCATGGTGTAATGTAATAAAAAGATAGCTCTATATTCGAACGACTTAGTCGAACCAATAAGGAGCTTATAAAAAATGAAATACCGTTTCAAATCTGCTATATAATCACAGTCGACTAATATTCTGTTACTAAACTACTGTTATTAAACTAAACAGTAACTGTGTTACTAAACTTTTATACTAAATATAAAGCCTACAGCTCCCATGCTGTTCCAATAAATATAATTGAAATATCGAAGCTGTCTTTTATTTATGCTAAAGTAAAATAAAAATATTAAAAAGATTTAAGAAGAGATTGCATTTCTTTATAATCATTACTACAATGAAAATCGTATTTCAAAACATGGATGTTTTAACGATATAATGAATTGTATAGAGCTTAGACCATATTAGCTGAGAAACATTACATGGAACTTGGACTACTAGACACGGCACATGTATAGTGCGTGTATAGAAAAGTAAAGAGATGAGTGAAGCAAAGATGACTCACTGAAGATAGTTCATTGTGAGCGGAATAGAAAGATGATCATTCAAAATGGCTGGCATGGCATCCGGCTTCAAATTCAAATCTTAGATGCTATCTACTCATATTCACTAACGACCATCGTGTTGCGTAAACGTAATTTTGAACATTTTTGAAAATAACGGCGCGTGCGTGTTGTTTCAAAGACTGCAAAGAGAATCAAAGTAGTAGTGGGAATACATCTTTCCCACATACGCCCCATGCACATTTCATATTTAATCCATTGTATTTGTTTTCCGAAAATTAAACATTTTCGCATATTCATCAATGTCGAATACTAAAACGTCGTGCGTCACACTCTTTCGAAATGGCAGATATATCATACCAGCACAGCTTATACATCGAGTTCACTGTGACGTCACGTAGATGATTCGTCTTTGCTTCAGGCAAACTATCTGCAGCCGTGTCCACAGATATCTACGGACTAAGAGTCTGAACTACTACAAAAAACCACATTCCTTTTAATAAAATATCACACAAAATTGTCGCAGCAAGTAGAAAGCATATCTGCCGGGAAATCTTCAAGAAATTGCAACTAAACATTCGTTGCCAATAAGAACAATTTCGCTTTCTCCTGTAGAACGCCATGACATGAATCCGATATCGGAATCAGCATCGGAAGTCGGTCTTCCAGATGATCCTAATCCCGACCATCAACGAATCAATCCTTGGGAACCGGCGACGGGGTAACCTCCGCGGAAAGCGAACAAATCAATCGAGGAAATCGTTCGAGCGCCAAACGAGGAAAAAAGAAGAGGCAAGGCTGCTGCCGTCGGACCACGAGACACCACCGAGCGAGCTGCGGTTGTAACGGATACGGTGGAGACCTGGATGGCGCCGGAACGGTGTCGGTACTCACCTCGACAGTATCTTGGATACACAGCCGTGAGATACCCTGAGTTGTCTGGAAATGTCGCACGGTCGGACGCCACTGTGCGCTAGCTCGACGATCCTTTGCCTGACTACATCCGGTAGGGGCCTTCCGTTCACGAAGACGCCGCCGAGCTGGTTAACTCCACCGTGGCCTGGAAAATGGAAATCGATAGTGCATTAGCCGAGAGGCGAACCTTTCTGCAGACGACGGGGACCGAGCCCTGCAACCGAGCGACGATCTTCCGCCGTGAAATCGGGATTCGGTCGCGTGGATCCCGGACCCCGTGACTTGCACACAATTTTCGCGGAACAACTCCGGACGATTAAATGTACGAGCTCTTTCGGAAATTTCTTGATACAGTGCAACCCCGATTATTCGGGGCGACACGAATGTACGATTATAGAGCTGTTATTTCGTTACAGTGCCACAATGTATCTTTCTTAATTTTTACAGAAAATCGTTTGGCGATGTTGCAACTTCGGTTGCCTCGATCGGGCGATCTCTAATTACTCAATCCTTTGTAAACAAGGTTTTTTAAAATATTATAAATAGTTTTAGCAACAAATTGAATTATATGGAACTTAAATGCTGGAAGAAAAAAGAATATGTTCGAATAGTTTTAGATATATGTTTGCAACTTTAAACGCTAGGTATGTGATGCATGTAGTCAATGCGGCGACGTTCGTTCTTCGATGTTTTTTTGCTAGAAAGTATTCGTCAAGTTAATTACGGTTATCGGGGTTCTAACGATGAATTCGTAGGAAATTTCGTACGTTGTTGTCAAATGGATGCAATGATAAAATACTTCATACAATGTAGAGATTTGGTAAATTCATTTAGTGAAAATAAAGGATGAAACTTCGCGCGGTTAGATACACAAGCGTCTTCATTTTTTATAAATTATAAAATGATCAACAAGATACACGGCTTTTAAAAATGTTTCGTTATCAAACCGCGAACCGTTACATATTTATAGTATAAGACAAGTGCAAAATCGAAGAGAATAACAAATCTTTGAAATCGTGTTTCTTGCTAAAAGAAATTAACAAACCCGTACGAAGCCGCGGTTGTTCACTGGGAAATCGTAATTTACCAACGATAGTCATAGATAACACTAATAATAGTGTTATATTATAATCGTTAATTACACCGAATAAGTGCATAGGTAATAATAGAAGCGATGTGTTCCGCATCTTTCAATATCACCCTATTATTGCCTTAATTTCTCCAGCAGTTGCGGACCACTCGCAGCTTTATTTTCGCGCATTAAAGCCGCCTAACTCGATAAGTTCGATCTAATATCGTAATGGAGGGTTCTGGACCACGACATATGTCCTCGTGTACGTGCCAGTGCGCCGATGATTCGATGATCGACGCTGTTTCTAACCCCTAACAAAAACGTGGTACGGGGCCACCAGATTCTTCACCCTCGCGTCTGTTTCCTTTTGCCTAGTCAATCAACACCTTCGAACCGGATCGTCCTAATGCAGATCGGAGTGGCCGAGATGCTAGAGCCAGAGGAATAAGAAGTTGCCGATAATAGTGCTCGATTCAGTATGGTTTAGTAACGCAGTCGAGTATGACCGATTGGATGGATATCTCGTTTGTGTCTGGCGATTGGCGAGCCATTCTACTAGATAATGAAATCGTTTATGACTGCAACATACATCGGGATCACTTAATTGGTTTTCCTGCGAGGCATCATAGTTTTGCAAGTCTTTCCTGCGACTTATAATAGGAAGATTAATAAAGCGATAGCAACACGTTGCGTTACAAGTTTGCGTAAATTGTCGTATTTCTGGACAAGATTTGATAGAATCTAAAATAACTTGTCTTCCTTTCTTAACTGTGGTTAACCTATACGAGAAACATGAGTGGTATCGTTACTTTTTATGTGTCCGCGTTTGTTTAAAATGCTGCGAAGTCAGATTTATATAAGTCAATAATACAGCAAACATCTTTCCCTTTTAAGATAATTCATCAAAAAATCGGTTTAAATTCATCGATGCTTCTGCATGCTTGCCAAACGCAAAGTTTATGTCCGAAATGTGCAAAATCCGAAAATCAAACCGTATTGTATACATCAAATCCACGACGCGATCGTACAGAAGTCAATTGTAGTATCTAAAATATGTAAAAAAAAAATAGGCGATAATCCGAGAAGAATCGTTTAACGAGGACATATTGTGAAATGGATTGTATTTCGGCGGACAATGGCAGGAAAAGGAAGATTAGATGAAAATCACGATTCGCTCTAGACTCGCCACGCGAAACTTGCTGGGAGAGGAACGGCTCGACAATTCGTAGCACTAGTAGCTCTGGATTCGGAATCGGGGGTGGTCCAACCTGGATTCAGAGCTCTCGTACAGTTGTGGTCAGCATGCGTGACGGCGTGTGTGCGAGCAAGCTAGTCATGGTGCTTTTGCCGTGGCAGGGCCTCCATGATTCCAGCGAGTATCCCCCTGACTACCGGCCGCGCCACGGGGATGCGACCATAAACGCGAGACCGAATTGATTTGCGACCGGAAAGCGAGTATCGTTTCTAGTAATGATCGCGGATCCCTCATTGTCTTGCCGGGACCGACGGAGATCGCAATGCGATACGCAGCCATGTCGGAAGAAAAAAAGTCAGATCGGCGTTCACGCGTCACAGCGCAGCCGGCCATCGACAATGAGACTTCTGATCGGAATGGCCGGATCATTGCGTTAATTAGCCGCGATTGTTTCGATCGACGGGCCCGGGACATCATGAGAATCGTACGCCCGATCAAACTTGCTCGAAATCATTCTTATTTCGTGGTAGAAATTCGGTGTTCGAGCGAAAGTGCATCATTTCTTGCAGTGATTATCAGTCTGAAGATCTTAATGCATTTACGGAGAGAGAGAGAATGCGCGTATTTAAGATGCGAGAAAATGTGTGTTAAACATTTACGTCGATTTTACTGTATTTTTACTTGAAGCAATTTACCCGAGACATTTTTTTTGCATTCAAATTTTTACAAAATAAGATGTGAAAAGATGCACACAATCTTTAAGATGTGTATAAAGATTAGAAATGAAAATATTTATTATTTATTTGTAGGATCGACAAAGTAACGTCATGGTCATGACACATCGCATTTGAATCAAATTCAAGCAAATAAATGTATATAAATTAATAACTTATTAATAATTATTTTGTAGATAGTTTTAGTTTCCTTCTCATGAACGTAGCAAAAATATTGTATTTTTCTGTTGAACGAGCCTTACGAACGAGAACAATTTCAGTGTTTTCTTAAATTAGATAGTAACTGTTTATATCTGTGGTTCAGAAGGCTGAGAATGAAACAGAAGCTCTTTTTAATTCATTCTCGCATTTGTCTGTTTACAAGTACTTCAATTAAGACTTCTCGCGAACTGAATTATAACTATTAAATCTCACAAACTTTACACGACATAGAAATTCACTTTACGATAACAGGATTCTTTCCTAAATTGTAATGTATATTTTTAGTTATTTTATATAGTGTTTTAATATGATATCCATAAGTTCAGCTGTTTTACAAATTTTTCGATAAATTATTCATCTAAGAACTGAATACTCTTTAAGAAGTCAGACATCAAAAATTAAAAACAGGTACTGCAACAGCGTATACAAGTAGAGAATAATGTTTACACTTACAATATTCTTTGACTGCCGCCGGCCGCGTACCCATATATGGGTGATGGAATTATTTGCTCAGATTTGAAAATTAATTTTCACGTTAATCCATTATATTTTCCTAATTTTATTAGGATCCAGGAGGCAATTAACAGAGACAAAACATAAGACTATTGAAAAAGTAATCGATGTCATACAACTGAATTTTCCAATTTTAAAAAATTTTATTAAATAGAATACTTTAATTTTATGAAATTTTTAAGCTTGTTGGTGAGGCAGTCAATATATTAAAAAGATTATCTGCCTTTTAAGCGATGGAAAATCAAGAATGTTTTTAACGCAAATGTGAGATTTCTAAATTGTCACTTTCTAACAGGAAAACTGATAGATTTCTGCATTTTTCTGCATATTTTCTGCACAACAAGCGCCTCGTCAGAAGGCGCACTCCTTCCCACTCCTTCCCACGACGAATGCGTTCGCGATCTTCCACTGATTAGATCCGTAGTATCGATCTCGTCACTCCTGTTCCCGGATCGAACTCTTTATCGACGGTTCGGCACGGCTTCACGGCAGAGAAAGCCTTACGACACTTTCCTAATTCGTCGCGATTTCAGCCCCGACAAGAACAACGATGTTAAAATAAGGTGACCTGGCTGGCCGGCGGTCTGGCGCGAACTCACTTCCGGGATGCCACGGTTTTCATCGACGTTCGCTGTCGAACCAATATACATAAAAACCCCACGGAATCGAAGCAGCTCGTTCATCGAAACAAAAATTCGATGCGCTGCTTATTAGACTACGTATTTTTACGCGAATTGCTTTCCAAGATAGTTTTATAAAAACCTGAACATTTTTTTGTTTGTCAGAAGACACTTTGCGACAAAAATAAAATGAAAGTACAGTAAACTCCTATGTAACGCGACAATCCGTTGTGCGTTGTACGAATCCGAAAATGGTGGCCGCAATACCTTTGTAGAAACACGTGTTCTACCTTGCTATTAATTTTTTATTAACTACAGGGTTGCCTATATTTTCCTAATTTATCTACGTGATTCATACGACGATGAACGGTGTAAGAATATACGTCGAAGTTCAACTGATTTCAACTTCATGGAGACGTGTGATAGCAAGAAGTTATTAGATGAAGAAATGAGTTCTTTCTTAACTACATTGTCTAGTATTGGAATCCCTAACACCACTTCATGAATAGATCACAGTATTTATGTATTTGTAAAAAGATACGCAGGTGTGTGGAATCTAAAAATGTCGGCACGTGAATTTATTGAAATTATTGAAGCAAGAAAACTTATGTCTACCTCATGTTTCTTGCAATGCGTGCGAAAACATTTGATCATGCACGAGACATTTTATCAGAGCTTCTTCAATTTCTTTGAGTCACAACAACATCATTTAACAGACATAAGCTTGAATCAGTCGACGATGTCCGAAAAGCCATAGGTTAATCGCAACCTGTCACAAAGTTGACACGAAGCCGTAAATACATCTAAAAC